AGAAGCACTTACTGAATGGCACTTTGGAGGAAAGAAAGATGCTGTTGGTAGTAGTAAATCCTGTCGTTGTCAACAAGGGCTTCCTCTAGGGGCAGTGTGGAATTATTCACCTCATCAACCCCTACAATATTGTCAAAAGAAGGCCCTTTTCATTATGGAAGGCAAAATCATTTATCAATGCCAATGAGGAATGATCCCCATCGAAATGACTGTCCATAAAAAATTTGGACTCGAAACCTTGACATCGGACTACCGAGACAGCACCCCACTAAGCCACAAGAAACCAAGCAAAAGTACAGAGGGGCATTACATCGAACACCTTATAAGCACTCAATAGCGTATACAATAAACCCAGCATCTAAAAATTTCCAACTTTCCAGTTTCCCCTTAGCAAATTGAGATTAATTAATTTAAGTCTCCCTTTTCTTCAACTGAACATCTTTAACCCATCCCTTCCATCAAAAATGAAAATTTCCATAAAACGACCGTGCTCCTCACCCCATAATTATTAAAAAAAAACTTATAATGGCTAACCCCAAATCTACAGAATAAATGATGCAATGTTCCTTATTTCATCCTAATGAAAAAAAAAAAAGATTTAAACTTAACATACCATTCTCAGTTATATAAATGAGCGGATTATTGTACTTCCTCTTTGTATACAGCAAGAGATCTTTAATTCCTCTAGGATACACGTAGAGCCAACTCGAAGCGGCCTACAGTAGTGCATATAAATGAAATTAGAAAACTTTATGGTACCATTCAATAAAAAAAGCAATGTTTTTTCGAAGTCTAATTACGTTTAAAAACATTAGTCTACGGACAAAAATACCAATGTATCTTGATGCATGCCTAATTTATTAAGGGTATTTTTTGTTTTTTAAAATTTAGATTATTGTTTTAAAGTGTAAGGCTAACTGTAAAAAAACATATATGAAATCTAAAGTTTATCCTTCAATGTGCCATTTAAATTTGGGTTAATCACCAACCTGTGGACCAATTGGGATCCCGTTCCGCTCAGCTGCAAATACAAGGTTTAGATTGCGTTTAGTTTATAAGAAGGCTCATAATTCTCATTGATTCTAGTTTGGGGAATACTTACTTGTAAGAATAACAAGAGAGTCTGTTAAGTAGCTCGGCTTTCCATTATTAAGCTTAGGTGCGTTTGCTGCATAATTGGCAGTATAGTAGTTCAATCCCAGAAAATCAATCGACCCTTTAAGCATCTTTGCTCCCTCTTCGGAAAATTTTGGTAAACGCTTTCCAACTAGTAATTCCATAGTCTTGGGATAATACCCTTTTGTTATAGGTTCCATAAACCTAGAAACATAAAAGCAAAGTGCCTCAGACACAGCTCCAAATAAAACACTGGAAAAAGAAATTGCATGAAACCCACCATCCAAACATAAAATCGAGTGCTCTTTCGGCAGCGTCTTTGTCCTGTGTTGTGTTCCACAATGGAACCATCCAGTACGAGATTAGTGTAATGCCTATTATACCCTTTTGATCTTTCTGCATAAATTCAACTTAGGTTAGATTATGATATTAATATGTAAAAAATAAAAATAAAAATAAAAATTATTCTAATACTTTAAATACTAAAATTTTTTATAAAATTATTCGAATATTTTTAATAACTTTTTTATGTGTTAATTTATTAAAATATTTTAATTTTTTCCTTATCATTTTCCGTATTTTAAATGTTAAGATATCTTAATTTTTTTAATCCTTAATAAATAGTAAATTCAATAATTATTTGTATAATAACATCTGGGATTTGTTGTATTACCTGATATTTTAGCCTGTACAGGTTGACTGAAGCTGCATGAGCTAGAAGTTGGTGATGGGACACCAGATACGGTTCTGTTCCTGAATCTCCACCAGTGCAGTTCAGTTTCTGCCAATTGGAGCAACGACCTGGTGCCAAACTTCCGGTAGCATAGCCACCATAGCTAAAGCTCCATGGCTCATTCAGGGTGATCCAATGCTTCACTCTATCACCAAATTCTCTGAAGCAAACCTCTGCATAGTCCCGAAAATCATCCCTGAAGATAAGAAAGAACAATTTCTTTAGTCAAAACATAGTAGAAATTATGAAAAATCAAAATGTCTTGATATTAAAAATATCAAAATATTCAATCAAAATCACATAATGAGTAAGATATAATGTAAACTCTCTACTTAAGTCATTGTTAGGATAAGTGTCTTCACATTTTTTAGCATCAAGGTGTCTGATTTTCATTTTTATGTATATATAATAACTAATTAAAGTGTCTTTTAGGCTTTTATTTAATTAAGCAATTGGATTAAGACCCAAAAATATGGTCATAATTTGTGTTTTAGAGTTATTTAGGTCTCTATTAAAAGCTTATTTAATAATAGACACTGGTGATTGATATGTAAAAGTCAAACTTACACAATCTTAGGACTCAAGAAACCACCATATTCATCTTCCAAGGATTGGGGAACATCCCAATGGAAGATAGTCACAAATGGCTGGATGCCTGCATATTCATGGATAAATAATTAACCCTCATAAGTACATGATTCACAGAAGACAATTAACTGGAAAAATGATAATGAATCACGACCATTGGCTAGGAGCTCATTGATGAGGTTGTTGTAATATTTGATTCCTTCCTTGTTGACACCTCCACTTAGCTTTCCCTCTGAAAGTAACAAAAACAAAACAAGAATGGAAGAATGACCAAGAATTTCCTTTTCCAGTCGCTGCTATAGGATTACACAACCTAGCTAATTAATAGCATTTTCTTACTTGGCAAAACTCTGGACCATGAGATTGAGAACCTGTATGCATCTAGACCCATTTCTTTCATAATCCGAACATCTTCCTATAACAAATGCAAAGATAACTTTTTGTTATTTTTGACACGTATGAAAGTCAAAACTTGTTGTTCCACCATGTTCGCCTCTTATATAACTTGTTACCTTGTACCGATGATATGAATCAACAGCGACATCTCCATTACTACCATCGGTTATCTTCTCTGCCATTTTACAACATAAACAACTCTGTTATGCTTTGAAAAGTTTGATAAAAAAAACATGCATGCTTTCAAGACCGAAACAGCATAGGTGGAGAGACAGATAGCTAGGTAGACCTGGATATTGGTGAGTGAAAGCGTCCCAGATACTTGGTCCTCGGCCTCCTTCATTAGCTGCACCTTCATACTGAGAAAATGAACAAAGATAAACAAAAATAAATGACAATGGCATCTCTATATAAGTTAAAGAAAATATGGTTGAAGAAATTGACTTGGTAAGCTGATGATGCCGTTCCGAATGTAAAACCATCCGGGAAACTATTCCGGGCGATTGTGTCAGTCACATTGCCTCCAATTTGAGCAGCGGAGCCAAGAAAGGCTAGAAGGAGAAAGAGTCGGTAGCCTTGAATTGCCATTCTTTTCTTTTGATGAAAAATTACCATTCTTATTATTAGTTACATTGAAGGATATATGATAAGTCGGCCTATTTGTAGAGATTGGACAAGTTGTAGAGACAAACTTGGTAACTTCTACTGACGTGGACAATTGATATCCACGGGCTAGGGAGGGAAGAAGATTTGAATAGTAGTGTAAAATTTTAAAAATTTTTGTGAGTCATAATAAGATCATATTATTATAATTTATATTAATTTTTTATTTTAATTATTAATTTTATGCGTTATATATTACTTATATCATACATAATAAATTTTAAATTAATTTTTTATGATTAAATTTTAAATTAATTAATTAGATATATTATTTTTTGCAAAACATATAATTTAAAA